TCGGTGTCCGCCATGGCCGTGTTTGGGCTCGCTGTCACTTTCAGCAGTAATAACAGCACACTTTATTATTACTGCCCACTGGATCCTGCCTGCCCTTTGGACACCAGATTAGAGAGCGTGGCATTGGTTTGTGGTTATCGCACTCATGTTGCTGACTCTGTTCTCAGGTTAATTTTTTTTTATGTAATACACCTGGAAGATTAAAAGCGGATTTGAATGTTGATATCTAAATCTTACATTGCACTGTACCCTTCACTAAACAAGATCAATGGATGCAGCTGTCATTAAAGGAAAGAATGATAAGGATAATGCATCTTTATTGCTTTATTGATCCATGTGCAGGCTGCACTGCATCAGATGGATTTATTAAAATATAAATAATTATATAACATAAATATAAATTAAAAAATAATTCTTATTAATAGTTTTAGAAGAGTTTTAGACTGAGTATTACTGAAACAAACCTTTGTTTCCACGCAGCCACTTTTAAGCAAATAATGAAACCACAAAGTTTGATTTTATACATATATAATTGTAAAGCTCAGCAAATGTTCACTACACAGTTGTGCTCATTTAAATTTGTGGTTTTACAGAAAAATATTTTTATTATAAATAGAATTATTTATATGAGGGAATTAAGGGAAATATTTATATTCACATTAACCATTGGAAACTGTGCTGATTTGTCCAAACTAGAAGCTTGTCTATATTAATTAGGCACTGGTTATCTGATAATTCCCTTCTTCTTAATGCAGATAAGACAGATATGATTGTCATTGGAGCAGATAAATTACATTACTTGTCCCAAAACTTTGCGCATTGATTAATGTAACACTCTCCTTTCTGAGCTACCGAAGAAAAGTTTTAGAGGTTTACAGATGGTACAAAAGGCAGCTGCTCACATTTTAACCAAAACTGAGAAATATGAGCACATTACTCCAATACTGAAATCTCTTCACTGGTTACCTTGTCAAGTTTGAGAAGATTTAAAGGTCCTATTGCTCACCTACAAGGCTTTCAACGGTTTGGCGCCCTCATCTCTCTTTGACCTTTTACGGACGACACCTATCAACACCATTACTGAGACTAACCACCTGATCCTGTCACGGCGAATAGAGTGAACCGTGTGGGGAAAGATAAATGAGGATCCACACGCAGGCACTCGCTGAAGGTGTGAAGGTGGTTTATTGTAGAACAAAGGTGGGAATGGCAACACGGAACAAAACTGATCTATACTGAGACAAACTAAACTATTGACCAGTAGACATGCTCGCAGGGAGGACACACGGATGAAGCACGGTGATACACAGACGGACCAGCGACTACTACGACAGAAGACACGACTTAAATACACTCAGAGAAACACAGGGAGATTACACACAGGTGGGGGACACAGCTGGAAGTAATTGCAGAGGTCTGCAGCCTTAAAGTACGCAGCCTTAACGATCCTCAAGGGCCGCGTACTTAAAGACCGCTAAGGCCGGAAGTGCGAGGCTTGTGAAATGGGAC